TACCTGGAGCTGCTGGAGGTCGGGTTGGGGCTGGTGCAGAAGTGTCCCAGCCTGAACCGAAGCCTGGACCAAGGACTTCCTCACCAACGGGAGGTTCTCTGACGCCTCTGGAGACCACAGTCCGGGTTTAGACCGGGTTTAGACCGGGTTCAGTCCGGGTTCAGTCCGGGTTCAGTCCGGGTTCAGTCCGGGTTCAGTCCGGGTTTAGACCGGGTTCAGTCCGGGTTCAGTCCGGGTTCAGTCCGGGTTCAGTCCGGGTTCAGTCCGGGTTCAGTCTGGGTTCAGTCCGGGTCCAGACTCACCTTCCTCCTGGAGTTTGCCCAGAGCTGAGAGGATGAGACTCGGCAGCAGCTGCAGCACCAACTCTGAGGGCTTCAGCAGAGACAGGTGATGCAGCACCTGTCGACAGGTCACAGGTCAGAGGTCACACAGGGAGCTGTTTTAATCCAGGTTTAGTCCGGTTTAGTCCGGTCCAGTCCCGGTCCAGTACCTTTTCGGCCTCGGTGGTGTCGTCGAACAGGCGTTTCTGGCGGCGGGCGGGCGTGGCTTTGGCGGTGTCCCAGGCCTCGAGCCACATGTTGCCGGGGATGGTCATGCGGGCGCTCAGTGCCCCCCTGGTCTCGCCGTCCTCGCCCTCCGAGACCACGAAGTCCCTCGGAGAATACCAGCGCACGAAGTCCTCCAGCACGCAGCCCGGGTTCGCCGCCTGCGCACAAACACATTTAGTCCAGGTTCAGTCCAGGTTCAGTCCAGGTTCAGTCCAGGTTCAGTCCAGGTTCAGGGTTCAGAGTCCCGGTGGTCAGAGTCCCGGTCGAGTACCTTGAAGGCCTCCATGTCGGACAGCAGACAGGCGCTCTGCATCCGCGCGCGCAGGTGAGCGCCCTCTGCTGATGTGCCCAGTTTGGACAGAACCTCAGACTGCTGCTCCAACATGTCCTCTGTGACAGGGGACGGCTCCTGGCAGGACAGGTGAGACAGGTGAGACAGAGAGAGAGGAGAGAGTGGGGAGAGACTACCTGTGTGTGTCGGAGTGTGTGTGGGAGGGGCCTATGTGTGGGTAGGGCGTGTGTGTGGGAGGGGCGTGTGTGTGGGAGGGGCGTGTGTGTGTGGGAGGGCGTGTGTGTGGGAGGGGCGTGTGTGTGTGTGTGTGGGCGGGGCGTGTGTGTGTGGGCGGGCCTGTGTGTGTGTGGGCAGGGCCTGTGTGTGGGCGGGGCCTGTGTGTGTGTGTGTGGGGGGCGGGGCGTGTGTGGGGGGGCGGGGCGTGTGTGGGGGGGCGGGGCCTGTGGGGGGCGGGGCCTGTGTGTGGGCGGGGCCTGCTCACCTGCGTGACGGGGATGTAGAGCGGTTGGTCGGCGTGCAGCAGCTTCATGTCGCCGTGCGCTCTGAGGCGTCCCTCGGGTTTCCGGTCGCCGTGGCCGCTCTCGGACAAATCGCTAACGCACTCGTAAAACTCGTCCTCGCTGTCGCTCCAGGACTCCCAGGACGTGGACGGCGCCGCGGCCCCGTCCGAAGGCGACGCCGCCGCTCCGTCCGAGGAACCGCCCCCTGGACTCTGCTCGCGGTGCGCCTCGTCACGTGACCTTTTCCTCTCAATACAACAGTTCAACATCTGCACAAACACAAGAGTCAAACCTCTGACCCTCCTGACCCTCCTCTGACTCTGTCTGACCCCCTCTGACCCCCCTCTGACCCCCTCTCTGACCCCCTCTGACCTCTGACCTCTGACCCCTCTGACCCCCTCTGACCCCTCTGACCCCCTCTGACCCCTCTGACCCCCTCTGACCCCCTCTGACCTCCTCTGACCCTCCTCTGACCTCTGACCCCCTCTGACCCTCCTCTGACCCCCTCTGACCCTCCTCTGACCCCCTCTGACCCCCTCTGACCCTCCTCTGACCCTCCTCTGACCCCTCTGACCCCCTGACCCCCCTCTGACTCTGACCCCCTCTGACCCCCTCTGACCCCCCTCTGCCCCTCCTCTGACCCCCCTCTGACCCCCCTCTGACCCTCCTCTGACCCCCCTCTGACCCCCCCCCCCCCTCTGACCCCTCTGACCCCTCTGACCCTCCTCTGACCCCCTCTGACCCCCTCTGACCCTCCTCTGACCCTCCTCTGACCCTCTGACCCCCTCTGACCCTCCTCTGACCCCCCTCTGACCCCCTCTGACCCCCTCTGACCCCTCTGACCCTCCTCTGACCCTCCTCTGACCCCCCTCTGACCCTTTGTTCTTTCAGTGAGTTTGTTCACACACCTGGAGTTTCTGGTGCAGGAGGCAGCAGCGCAGGTCAGGAGCTCCACTGGACAAACTGGACACAACCAAACAGAAACAAAAGTGAAAATGTCAGAACATCAGAAGTTTGACGTTTGAAAAGTTCCTGAATGAGACAAACGGACCCTGTGAGCTGTGTGTTCTAAAGTTACACCCCTGGTGGTGAGTGTTACACCCCTGGTGAATGTTACACCCCTGGTGGTGAGTGTGTTACACCCCTGTGTTACACCCCTGGTGGTGAGTGTGTTACACCCCTGGTGGTGAGTGTGTGTTACACCCCTGGTGGTGAGTGTGTTACACCCCTGGTGGTGAGTGTGTTACACCCCTGGTGGTGAGTGTGTTACACCCCTGGTGAATGTTACACCCCTGGTGGTGAGTGTGTTACACCCCTGGTGGTGAGTGTGTTACACCCCTGGTGGTGAGTGTTACACCCCTGGTGGTGAGTGTGTTACACCCCTGGTGGTGAGTGTTACACCCCTGGTGAGTGTTATACCCGTGGATGAGGTAGTTGTTCTCCCAGCGGTAGCGCAGCTCCAGCACAAACTCCTGCCACAGATGAGCCACGGCTCTGACTCCACCCTGAGAGTGATTCAGCGACGCCAGACACAGAGCCACACGATGAGTCAGACTGTCCACAGGAGCCGCCTTCAGGTGCAGGTACTGAGTCTGGACCAGAGACCACGGTTAGACCACAGACCAAAGACCAGAGACCACAGACCACAGACCAGACCAGAGACCAGACCACAGACCAGTTGAGGAGGAGAGAAGAGGAGAGCAGGACTAACAGCAGGTCTACAGCAGGTCTACAGCAGGACTACAGCAGGTCTACAGCAGGACTACAGCAGGACTACAGCAGGACTACAGCAGGTCTACAGCAGGACTTACAGCAGGACAGCAGATACAGGTCTACAGCAGGTCTACAGCAGGTCTACAGCAGGACTACAGCAGGTTTACAGCAGGACTAAACCAGGACTACAGCAGGATAAACCAGACTACAGCAGGACTACAGCAGGTCTACAGCAGGTCTACAGCAGACTACAGCAGGACTACAGCAGGACTACAGCAGGACTACAGCAGGTCTACAGCAGGACTACAGCAGGACTACAGCAGGACTACAGCAGGTCTACAGCAGGTCTACAGCAGGTCTACAGCAGGTCTACAGCAGGTCTACAGCAGGACTACAGCAGGTCTACAGCAGGACAGCAGGACTACAGCAGGTCTACAGCAGGACTACAGCAGGACTACAGCAGGTCTACAGCAGGACTACAGCAGGACTACAGCAGGTCTACAGCAGCAGCAGGACTACAGCAGGACACACAGTCTACAGGTCTACAGCAGGACTACAGCAGGTCTACAGCAGGTCTACAGCAGGACTACAGCAGGTTTACATGAGGCTGAGTTGTAAAGCTCGGGTTCGTACAGAGTCTGGGTCCTGGATCTCGCCGCTGTGAGGGCTGCTCTTCTCCACCGGAGTCTTTTCCACCGCAGCATCCGGAAACAGGAACTGAGGTCAAGGAAACGGATGTCAGGAAAATCAGGACTAAACCAAGACCAAACCCAGTCTAAACCCGGTCTAAACCGGGTCTAAACCAAGTCTAAACCAAGTCTAAACCAGGTCTAAACCAGGTCTAAATCAGGTCTAAACCAAGTCTAAACCAAGTCTAAACCAGGACTAAACCAGGTCTAAACCAGGTCTAAACCAAGTCTAAACCAGGTCTAAACCAGGTCTAAACCAGGTCTAAACCAAGTCTAAACCAAGTCTAAACCAGGACTAAACCAGGTCTAAACCAGGTCTAAACCGGGTCTAAACCAAGTCTAAACCAAGTCTAAACCAAGTCTAAACCAGGTCTAAACCAGGTCTAAACCAAGTCTAAACCAGGACTAAACTTGGTCTAAACCGGGTCTAAACCAAGTCTAAACCGGGTCTAAACCCGGTCTAAACCAGGTCTAAACCAGGTCTAAACCAGGTCTAAACCAGGTCTAAACCAGGTCTAAATCCGGTCTAAACCAAGTCTAAACCAAGTCTAAACCAAGTCTAAACCCGGTCTAAACCAAGTCTAAACCGGTCTAAACCCGGTCTAAACCCGGTCTAAACCCGGTCTAAACCCGGTCTAAACCAGGTCTAAACCAAGTCTAAACCAAGTCTAAACCAAGTCTAAACCAGGTCTAAACCAGGACTAAACCAGGACTAAACCAGGTTCTTGATACAGAATCTTAAAGGTTGTATAGAGGATTTTTTTAAGGGAAGAGAAATACAGCGTCAGTCCTTGTGCGCGTTCAGAATCACTGTTGAAGTTTCCTGTCTAGAAGTAATTCAGCGACCGACGCGTCAGTTTTTAGACCCTTCGTCTGCTTCGGTCGCGCCATCGCTGGACGAGATCTCCAAGAATCACCTCAGTTTGGCTTTGCTCCTTTTGCGGTGAACCGGTCGTAGATTCTCGTCCGCCGTCGCGACAAACTTTGTGCGAAATGCGAGGAAGCGACAGTTCGAAAAAGCCTCTAAGAACCGCTGCGTAAACCACATAATCCCCGCGCTCCGACGAATCAGTTATACTAGGGAGTTTGATTGACAACCTAACAGCCAATAGAAAATGAGGGAGCCTCGTTTTCTATTGGCTGATGTTTATCTGGCCTCAACACGTCCACAGTTGATAGATTTTCATTATTTTTTTTTTTTTGTCATCATAATTACAAAGCTGCTGCGTCTCTGTAATGGTATTTTAATTTTTGACTGACAGTTTGAAACAAAAAAAAATCCTCCATACAACCTTTAATATATAATATATAATATATAATACAAATTTAATTCACCAGTACCTTTACTGTGGAAGGGTGTGTTCAGTGAGTTTTATTGTGGCGGGAGGTGTTGAGTGAGTTTTATTGTGGCGGGAGGTGTTGAGTGAGTTTTATTGTGGCGGGGAGGTGTTTGAGTGAGTTTTATTATGGCGGGGAGGTGTTGAGTGAGTTTTATTGTGGCGGGGCGTGTTGAGTGAGTTTTATTGTGGCGGGGAGGTGTTGAGTGAGTTTTATTGTGGCGGGGAGGTGTTGAGTGAGTTTTATTGTGGCGGGGAGGTGTTGAGTGAGTCTTATTGTGGCGGGGCCGTGTTGAGTGAGTTTTTTTATGAGTGAGTGTGGCGGGGAGGTGTTGAGTGAGTTTTATTGTGGCGGGGAGGTGTTGAGTGAGTTTTATTGTGGCGGGGAGGTGTGAGTGAGTTTTATTGTGGCGGGGAGGTGTTGAGTGAGTTTTATTGTGGCGGGGAAGTGTTGAGTGAGTTTTATTGTGGCGGGCTCACCAGCAGGGCCGTGTTGAGTGAGTTTTATTGTGGCGGGCCTCACCAGCAGGGCCGTGTTGAGTGAGTTTTATTGGCGGGGAGGGTGTTGAGTGAGTTTTATTGTGGCGGGCTCACCAGCAGGGCCGTGTTGAGTGAGTTTTATTGTGGCGGGCTCACCAGCAGGGCCGTGTTGAGTGAGTTTTATTGTGGCGGGGCCGTGTTGAGTGAGTTTTATTGTGGCGGGCTCACCAGCAGGGCCGTGTTGAGGCTCTGGTTGCTCAGTGGAGACTCTTCGTACCTCCTCCTCCTCCTCATGCGTCTCCGGGCGCTGTGGACCATGTGGGACACGGACAGTTTGGAAATGTGGACCGAGGCCGAGGGCTGAGTGAGCTTCTGCAGCGCCGAGCTGATGTCTGCGTGTTCTACAACACCACACACAGACAAACGGCTTTAGACCGGCTTTAGACCGGCTTTAGACCGGCTTTAGACCGGCTTTAGACCGGCTTTAGACCGGGTTGTAGGGAGCAGTGTACTCACCCTTCCCCTCCTCCTCCGACAGGGCGCGGCCCATGATCTCGTCCATCGACTCAGAGCACAGAGTCAGTCTGAAGAACTCCAGCAGGAAGTCCCCTGAGCCACAAAGACCTGGTTCAGACCTGGTCCAGTCCTGGTTCAGTCCTGGTCCAGTCCTGGTCCAGTCCTGGTCCAGTCCTAGTCCAGTCCTGGTCCAGTCCTGGTTCAGTCCTGGTTTAGTCCTGGTTAGTCCTGGTCCAGTCCTGGTCCAGTCCTGGTCCAGTCCTGGTCCAGTCCTGGTCCAGTCCTGGTCCAGTCCTGGTCCAGTCCTGGTTTAGTCCTGGTCCAGTCCTGGTTCAGTCCTGGTCCAGTCCTGGTCCAGTCCTGGTTTAGTCCTGGTTTAGTCCTGGTTTAGTACCTAGCAGACACTGGGGGTTGTCCACGGTCCTGATCCTCACAGTCCAGTGCGGCGCCTGCAGAGGGTCCAGCTCACTGAAGAACACAAGACACTTTAACCCAGATGCCCCGACACAGTCTGGAAATAAACCATGGACCTGCCCCCCTCACACCTGTCACACCTGTCACACCTGTCTCTCTCACCTGTCACACCTGTCTCACCTGTCACACTCACCTGTACACGTCGTTGTCCACGATGATGCCCTCGGTCAGGTGAGGCCAGGTGGCGGCCAGGTGCAGCTCACTGCAGAAAGACAGGTGCAGAAGGACAGGTGCAGTTTAGAAGCACAGACACAAACCCCAACGGTCAAACCCCAACGGTCAAACCCCAACGGTCAAACCCCAATGGTCAAACCCAATGGTCAAACCCCAATGGTCAAACCCCAAACCCAACGGTCAAACCCCAAAACCCCAACAGTCAAACCCCAACGGTCAAACCAAAAAACCCCAACGGTCTAAGGTCTAGATTTTGATTTTAAAGAACAAACTCGATACTTGATACCAATTCTGATCTAGTTTTGATACTCGTTTTAGAGTTAGAGATGAAGGATCCAGCTTTTTAAGTTCCGATATCGATTCTGACTCTGTAGCTTTAAGTATCTGCCGATATCCGAGAAACGGATCCCAGAGACTGAGAACATTTGGCTCAGATCTATGGAGCCGTCATTTATGTCAAAATAAAAACATCTCTCAAATACAGCACCGATACCCGATACCAGGATCGGATCGGTGCGTCTCTAGTTTGAGTATCGATCAGTATCTGATTCTGATACTTTGATAAACACCTGATGGGCTCCGCACACGCTCCAAACGGAACTTTACCAAACTCCACTCCTCCAACCTCTCCCCCGAACAGACCGTCGAAGTCTGAGGAAGAAGAACAACACACAGGTCAGAGCGACAGGCGACAGGTGAGGCTGTGACGGGTGAGGCTGTGACAGGTGAGTCTGTGACAGGTGAGGCTGTGACAGGCGACAGGTGAGGCTGTGACGGGTGAGGCTGTGACAGGTGAGGCTGTGTGACTGTGAGGTGAGGCTGTGACAGGTGACAGGTGAGGCTGTGACGGGTGAGGCTGTGACAGTGAGGCTGTGACGGGTGAGTGCTGTGACAGGTGAGGCTGTGACGTGACGGGTGAGTCTGTGACGGGTGAGTCTGTGACAGGTGAGGCTGTGAACGGGTTGAGTCTGTGACGGGTGAGTCTGTGACAGGTGAGGCTGTGACGGGTGAGTCTGTGACGGGTGAGTCTGTGACAGGTGAGGCTGTGACGGGTGGTGTGACGGTGACGGTGACTGTGACGGTGAGGCTGTGACAGGTGACAGGTGAGGCTGTGACAGGTGAGGCTGTGACAGGTGAGTCTGTGACAGGTGACAGGTGAGGCTGTGACGGGTGAGGCTGTGACGGGTGAGGCTGTGACAGGTGACAGGTGAGGCTGTGACAGGTGAGTCTGTGACAGGTGAGTCTGTGACAGGTGAGTCTGTGACAGGTGACAGGTGAGGCTGTGACGGGTGAGGCTGTGACGGGTGAGGCTGTGACAGGTGACAGGTGAGGCTGTGACAGGTGAGTCTGTGACAGGTGAGTCTGTGACAGGTGAGTCTGTGACAGGTGAGTCTGTGACAGGTGACAGGTGAGGCTGTGACAGGTGAGGCTGTGACAGGTGAGTCTGTGACAGGTGAGTCTGTGACAGGTGACAGGTGAGGCTGTGACGGGTGAGGGGTCATGTTTTTTTACAAAGTGAATTTTTAATATATTTTTTTTTATGAATTTATTTTGGGCAAGTAAAGATTTACATTTCTACACAATGGAACAAATGACATAAGTGAAATCATAACAAATGAAAATAACAATAACAACTAATAACTATTATTATTACTTATTTTGCCCAAAAAGGAGCGGGAAGAAGAAAACTTATTTAATCCCACCTCTGCTCTTCATAATCCAACACAATGATCTTCTTTTGTGTTTTTCAGACATTTTGAATTAAACTTTATGAACTATTTACAAACGGAACACACGATTATTATCCAGTCTGGCGCCTCCTAGTGTCTCTGCTCAGAATCAAAAAACACTCAACGATTCACAAAAACCCCACAAGTGTTGAGTTCAGGCTCCAGCCAATCAGAGAAGAGACAGACGTTCTGTGTGTTCGATTCCTCAGATTCCCGAGGATTTAAACTGGAACAAAGGGAACGTCTGGTGAGTTTGATCTCAGGGAAAGTCCTTCTTGTTCTTCTTCCTGTGGGATCTGGAACTTTACAAACGTCACGAACAAACAGCAGCGATTGGTTCAATAAAAAAAAAGTCCCGCCTCCTGTCGAGTGAACCAATCCTAATGCTCCACGCGCGTAAGAGTGTGTGTGTGTGTGTGTGTGTATATACATGTGTATGTGTGTGTGTGTACATGTGTGTATACGTTTGAAAGTGTGTACGTGTGTGTGTGGGGGTGTGTACGTGTATGTGTGTGTGCGCGTGTGTGTTTTTGTGTAAGTCTGTGTTTTTGTGTGTGTGTGTTTGTAAATGTGTGTAAGTGTGTGTTTGTGTGTGTGTGTGTGTGTGTGCGCGTGTTTTTGCGTGTGCGTGTAAGTGTGTGTGTATACCTGTGTAAGTGTGTGTGTGTGTGTGTGCGTGTGTGTGTTTGTGTGTGTTTTTGTAAGTGTGTGTGTGTGTGTGTAAATGTGTGTTTTTGTGTGTGTGTGTGTGTGCGCGTGTGTGTTTTTGTGTGTGTGTGTAAGTGTGTGTGTGTACGAGTGTGTACGTGTATAAGTGTGTTTTTGTAAGTGTGTGTGTGTGTAAGTGTGTGTGTAAATGTGTGTTTGTGTGTGTGTGTGTGCGCGTGTGTGTTTTTGTGTGTGTGTGTAAGTGTGTGTGTACGTGTGTGTGTGTGTGTGTGTGTATACGTGTGTAAGTGTGTGTGTGTGTGTGTGTGTGTGTGACAGGTGGTACCTGGCGGTTGCTGGGGCCAGGTGCACTGTTGCCAGTCGTGCAGGACGTAGGTGAATCTGATGGAAATGTTGATGGGAGGAAGAGGAGACAGAGTACAGCCCTGAACACACACACACAACTCAGGTCAATACACACACACACACAACTCAGGTCAACTCAGGTCAACTCAGGGTAATACACACACACACACAACTCAGGTCAACTCAGGTCAATACTCATTCACACAACTCAGGTCAACTCAGGTCAATACACACACACACACACAAGTCAGGTCAATACACACACACACACAACTCAGGTCAACTCAGGTCAATACACACACACACACACAACTCAGGTCAACTCAGATCAATACACATACACACAACTCAGGTCAACTCAGGTCAACTCAGGTCAACTCAGGTCAACACACACACACACAACTCAGGTCAACTCAGGTCAATACTCATACACACAACTCAGGTCAACTCAGGTCAATACACACACACACACACAACTCAGGTCAACTCAGGTTAACTCAGGTCAATACACACACACACAACTCAGGTCAACA